ACCTTTCTCCTCAGGGGGCAACTCTAGTTGTGGTGTGAAAGCCAGTTGGCAGTATCCGATATAGTCTAGCTGGTTAGGATGCTTGGCTCTCACCCGAGGGGCTCGGGCTCAAGCCCTGGTGGCGGAATCTTGGCCTCACTGACAATGAGCCCCGTCCAAACCCCCGTCAAAACCTCCGTCACAACCCCCGTCAACACCCCCGCTAAAACTCAGAGCCTTGCGCCAAGACCCCCGTCAGAGTCCCGTCCAACTCCCACCAAGACCTCCGTCAAAACACCTCAGCTTTGCTATGCCCCAGCTGGCAGGGAGAAAGTGTGCGATTGCAGGGTGGGGCGGTGTAGGATTGGCGTCTCATGTAGTTTGCGATTGTCGGTTGGGAGGAGTATCCGCTTGGACGGTCGAGTGTCTCTGATTGGGGGGTCACCCCCTTAAAACACGATTTGCGGAAATTCCCAGCAAACGCCTCCCGATTTGGGGATCATTTTTGCGGAGGAGGCGCAAGAGCCCGCGCTGGGCACCGCCGCGCTCCGCGCCGAGTGCTCGAAGCTGGAGGCGGAGAACCTGGCGATGCACAAAATGGCCGAGCAGAGCCGGCAGCTGCGGGCGGAGGCAGGCGGCGGGGTCTGAGAGTCTGACTTTTTCGGGGTGTCCCTTTGGGGTTCCGACTGGTTTTCCGAGTCGTCCGTTGGTTTCACTTGGACAGGTTGAACATGCCCTTTGGCTCCCCCGTAACGCACACGCACAGACACAGAGGCGGACCAGAAGGAGGCCTTGCTTGCCGAGCGGCACGCAGCTTTGGGCCTGAGTCGGCCAGGCAGCCGAGGAAGCCGAGCGCGGCCGGGCACGGCGCAAGCGGCCGTGGACAAAGTGTTGGGTATGTCCCAAAGCGTCGCTGGGCCAATGGCAAGACGGTACATTCGGGTTTGTAGTAGTTTGTACTGGAACCCTTCTAGCTGGTGGTTGGAAGGGAGCTAATCGGGGTGTTCGAATTTGCGTTTAATACTAAAGAGGGCACCAGGAGTTCTTTACGCAGATGATAGCCTTACAGACGCTACAGAAGGTTTCTTATTTCGGTTTCCCCCTACACCAACCCCCAAACCCTAAACAAAACAACCAGTTGGTAGAAGGCTCGCGCCAGTATTCATAGAGTTTTATCCATCTCAACTGGGATTCTGTCTATCCACAGTATCTTGCTTGAAGTTTCCCAACGCACGAGGTATCATCGCCCTGGAATGACAGAACCAACAAACCACTCGGGTGCATCCAAGGTCACGGCCGAAAGCCTGAGGGCCAAAAGCAAGGCGCTGAGGCAAGAGCTGGAGATGGAGCATGAGCGCACAGCCCAGCTCAGAGCCAAAGCTTGCTCCAAGATCTTGGGCAGGGACATCAGCCCCCCGCCCAGGCGTAGGCTCAGCGCTTGAAACTACTCCCTTGCGCGTGCAATCCCAAGAGCTGTGTGTTCGTAGAGGGATCTCATTGTGGCGGATGTCGGGGGTTCCATGTTTGCAAGGGAGTACACCTGCATGCTTAGAGTAGGAATCCGTGTCGCAAGCTCATCCACAAAGACTTGCGAGTTCGAGCGCGCGCTGCGCTTGAATCCAGAGCCGCAGCCAATTGCGCAATTCTGCAGGCAATGCCCCCTTCACCCACACACCATCCGCAAGCACGCGTCTCAGCGCGTGCACAAGGCTGTTCTAGTGAGAACGGGCATGTTCACAGGACCCTGCTTACAATGTTTGCAAGATTTTGCAAGGTAGCACCATCTATGCGACCAAATCAGCGGTATCCTCAAAGCTGCCCCTTGCACGCACTGTGGTGTGTGCCGTGTACGAGGTCCATGACGTCCGCAGCTGCAGCTGCTCGGATAGATCTAGCTCTATGCCCAAGACTTGAGGGTTTCTCAACATAGGGAGCCCCCTAAAAGGATTGTCTTGTTTTTGGTTTCCTTTTAAAATGCAAACCACGCGGGTTTCGCTACTTGGAGACACTCCCACATCACGCACATGCGCAAGGCTCAGCCTCAAGCTCCACAGAACGGGCCCCATTCTCAGACACGGCTTCTTTGTTTTTGCATGGTCGAAAATCGCGTGGGGTAGCATGCAGGTCTTGCTCAAAGCCAACGCCCGCGCTGCAAAAGGCACACCCATTGGCGTGTGTCGCCGTTCCAAATTAATCCTTAACCCTCATGCCTGATGCTGTGATTGCCCTCTCTGTGGTGTTCCCCCTCTGGTGCATGACAGGATTGGGGGAACCAGACCTTTGCCTCAGCCCTTTTGCCATAGAATTCTAAATGAACTTAAGCATGCAAACCCGGGGTGCTTTTCAGTCGGATCCTTTGCGGAGTTTCCCAGGATCCGGCCGGTGGACGGCCAAAGCTCGTGTTGAAGCCCAGAACCGCCCCCATGCCAGCTGAGCGCCTGAGCGCCTGAGCGTAGCGCTACGCTCGATTTGCTTTACCCTGTTCATAGGTTTTCAAGATTACCGATGGATCACACGCGAAATTACAAGATCCAAAAAGGTGCCACAAGGCTAGAGACAGCAGATCTGCAGTTGTTCACATATACACGTACACATGTGTACATGTGTACCCGTTTTCGGATATGCATATTCCATATTCACATCCATGCACGATACGTATACAGACAAATCTGTATAGACGACACACTTTTGCATGCAGAGAGCAACTATCTATGTCTACATCGGCATCGTTGACCAGAACATTTGGCGCCTGGACATTACGCGTTCCAAAGGGTGGCAATCAAACAGTTTGACTTGAACTTGGTATTGGCAGATGCTACGTGCATGAGTGTGCAGAAGACATTTGTCGTCCATCGCAGGCTGTGTTGTTGATTTCTGGCTTGTTTTCGTTTGTGGACTGATGTGTATTGAGAATCATTCAAACCAGCCAAAAGGAAAGTCTCTGTCAAGGCAGGGCCATCGATTAAGACGCCTCTCCTGGCTTCGCCGTGCCCGGCCACCCGAAAAAGCGCTCAAGAGATCAAGCACCACAGCCCGGTTGAAGACGGCCTTCACAAGACGGACCTAGCCGCCCACATGGGTAGCTCCAAGCGCTTTGGCAACAGAGCAATCCTCGCAGCGTTTTTTGTGACCTGGGTCTGTCCTTTTGATGAGGGTACCCTTCTTTGTGTGGTTCTTTTTTAAAGAAGAGGACACCCACTATTTTGGGGGTCCCACGCGCTCACAACATTCAACACGCTTCTCCGCAGCCTTCTCTATACCAAGGGCCCGTGCACGTCCCAGAGCCCAGCCAGCACCACGGCTTCCTCTAAAGACATGCGAAGTAGCAAGGACGCACCCACCCCATGTCCAGCATCCACTGGTTCACTCGGACCGCATTACATGAGTAGCATGATGCACTTGTCTTCTTCTTTTCTGGGGAGTGTTGGGCACCCGCCTGGTGAATCGATTAACGCAGTTGAGCACGTGTTCCTGAATTGAATCCCACAAGATACATGATCATTTTTTTTTTAAAGCCGTTTCTTTGCTCGAGCTCCTTCGTTCTGCCTTCGTTCTAAAACTAAAGGCCAACCGACTCCTAGGTCTGAACGTTGAACATCACAAATCATATCACCCACACAAATGCAGACGTCATCTTCGAATGCAGCGTTCCCCACTCGCCAAGTCCACTCCCACCATCATTTCGAGCTCAGCATCCGCCCACACTCTGCCCTCCCCAGCCTAATGACTGACCCTCACCTCACCCACTCACCGAACCTCACTTCAGCTCACTTTGCCCTGAGAAGCTTTTGCCTGTCGGGTTGTCGGGTCCTTCCCTTCTCTGACCCGCGTTCGCAGCATTGCCAAGGGATGTCCAACGCTGTCTGACGACTTTGTTCGATGGGATTTGGAACTTTATCCTTGCGGGGGGCGTTTGCCCGCGATATCGGCTTTGCGCTGAAGCTGGAAGCCAAGACCGCATGCTGAGTGGCTCACAGCATTGAGTGATAGCACTTGTCACACTTGTGCCAGTGGGGTCCCGGCCCAATCTTCCATGGCAGATGTGCAAGGCCCGAGACATGCCAAACTTGTAGAGAGCATGTGAGCTCATGTGGGCTCCGAGCGGGCCGCGCCTGCCCCCAGTTTGCAAGAGATGGCTCAAGAATGGACCAGCTCGCCGTGTCGCTTTGCACATGACTTGTTTGAAGACTTGGGTGTCAATTTCATGCAGCCAACTACAATGGAAGGCAAGTGACGAGAGCCAGGGGTTGCGTTTTCGTGAGTGGCAGGCTATACACCTGCGGAGCCACAAGTTCCCTTCGAGCCCTACCGGACTCGTTGCGAAGATGCAGAGGCAGGAACTCAGGAACTCAGCGGCGGTTTGGGGCGGCCTTTCTCATGGCGCAGGTAGCGGTGCGTCCGGATCCAACCGTTTGGGGCCCTGTGAGTAGTGAGCCGGGACCTCGGCCTCGGCGAACGCTAATGGGATCCTTCGCTGGGGCATAGAGACGGAGGTACGTTCGGGGAGGAGAGAGGTAGAGCCGGTAGAGCGGTTCAGGAAGCCAGGAGAAGCCCAGCCCTCCGTTGGCCCAGGCTCGGCACGTTCGATGAACAGGGATGCTGTGTCCTGCGCAACGTGGTGCCCCCTGAGCGCATCGAGGCCAGCCTTTGGCGCGCGTGCGTGGCCAAGACTGCCCGGTCTACACTCTGGCCCGCCCAGGCCTGCAGAAAATACTTGGCCACGTTCACCAGCGAAGAACAGACCTTCGGATGCAACCGGCACTGGCAGAGAGCTTGCACCTGTTCCAGAGTGCCTGTTGCAAGGCTCAAGGTTACAGACAACTGTCGCCTGGTCACGGAAGCAAATTCCTCCGTGCTACGGAGTGTATTTGCCGTCCACGAGGCCGCGTCAGCGAACCTGGCCATTGTTTGCAACGCTCCCTTGCATTTCTGCAGGACTTGTTTGGAGTGGCTAGCTGGATTCTGCGAGGATGACGGCAGTCCTCTTGCAGAACTTGCCCGATCAGACCTAATCACCAGGCATGTGCAGCAGATTCTGGCAGATGATGTTTATGTGCATCAGCCACTTGTCAAGAGTTGCTCGAGAGTCCCTGGTGAACCTTTCGGAGGGTAGCCCTTTTGGAGTGTTTTAACGGGAAGCCAAAGCTGACAAGCCGTTTTTTTGGGGCCCAAGACCGTTGTGCAGTGAAAAGCAAACTCCAAGGTCTCGCGTGAATTTGCAAGCGCCCTTCAAGGGAACTGGCTTCTCGTGGCATAGCTGCTCGGTCTCGAATAATTTGCGCGTGTCTCTTTTTGAGAGTGCCCCTTTGTGGTGGGTAAACCAAAAGGAACACAACATATTTGTATATTTGTTTCTTCCAAAAAAACCGACCCCGAAAAACCGACACCCATGGTGACAGACGGATCAAGGGGGATCGGTATCGCCCGGAACGCTTTGAGGCGACTTTGAGACATGGCACGCGGAAGATGGCATGCCGAAGCCTCGAAGCTTGTCTGCTGTGATCTTCCTGGACAAGAATGCAGCTTGGACCAATGAAGCTGCGCGCTTTGGCAGCGTCTTTTTTGTTGAAGATAATGTTTACTAGGAAGCTGCGTGTTTAATCAAGTGCATCAGTCACCCTGGGGTTGAGCACGCAGACTGCCTCAGCTTTGCTCTTTTTGTGTCTTTGCTGTTCGAGGCAGAGCACAATGGTGCGCTGATGGTGATTCCTGGGTCCCACAAGTCCTTCCTGCGTTGTTCCGGTCGTCAGAAGAATGCAAACTGGGAGAAGTCCCTGCAATCGCAGGCGGGGCCAGCATGCGGTCAATCCATCTCCTCTTTTGAGCGGGCTGAGGTTTACGGCACGCCATCGGAGGATCACATTCGCCAGCTGGCGGAGAAGCAGGGTATCAAGCACTGTGTGGGCGAAGCCGGGGATGCCCTGAGCTTAAAAAGTCCATCCGGCACAGGCACGGGCATCCAAGACTTGGGCACACGGGCAGGTCCTGTTCTTTGACTCCAACTTGCTCCATGCTTCCAGTGGGAACCGATCGCCCTTCTCTCGTCGCAACCTCTTCGTGGCATTTAACAGCTGGACCAATCGACTACAAGCCCCATTCTACGCCGAGGACTGGAGCACACAAACAATAACTGGGTTTGTCTGAGCAAAGAAGTGACCCCCAAAGGTGTCCCTTCCCAATCCCCGAAAAGTGCACTCTCAAAGACAGACAAACCCATTTTTGCCTTGGACGTCCATGGCATGTCAGGAAAAGCGGCCAGAGCACGTAGCTCACCGGGAGAGAATCACACGCTGTGACCGAACGCCGTAGTCGGATGCCATGAGCAGTTGCAAGGCTTTGCCACTTGGGCCAAGACTTTGAAACATGGGAAATGAAGGAACATGAGAGATTGAGTATTGCGAGATCAATGAGATATACACGATCATACGCGTGCCAGCCCCTCCCCCAATCAACCCTTTATGGGAAAAAGGATTGCTTGCGGCAAACCATTCATTGAGGATTTCTATAGGAATAATTAAAATAAATTTACCTAAATTGAATATAATTGTAAAATTAACTAAATACATTCTTTTTTATTTATATTTAAATTGAATTTAAACAATATATTATATAAACCCATAATTAAATTTAATTATATTATTTATTTAAAATAATTTATATATTTAATATATATTTAATATAAATATTATATTAAATAAGAATTCTTAATATTTGAATATATTATATAAATTTATATTATATTATAATATATGTAGAATATATATATATATATATATATTATATTTATTATATTTATTATGTGTTTTATATGTTTTATATTAAAACTAATAAATATTGATTTATATAATATATATAACAATATTGAATTTATTGATTTTATTAAATATTATTTAAATATATAAATATATTTAAATATATGTATAATGTGGTGATTGTTTATATCGATTTTGTTTTGGTATTTTTTTTTTTCCTTTTCGTGACTTAAGTTTTCGCTTTTTCGCACGGCTCGGTGGGGGGATTTTTAACAATTTATCTATTTATTTCGTAATCTTCATTTTTCTTTATCTTTTTATTTCTTTATGGATCTTAATTTGTTTTTTTTTTGGCTCTATTTGTTTTTGTTTGTGTTTCTTTGTTTTTCGGATTGTCTCGGTTTGTTTTTCTTTGTCTTTATGTGTTTATATTTGTCGTTCGTCTTTATTGTTTTGTGTTTTTTTGTATCTTTTTATTTATTGTCGTGTGTTCGTGTTTATTTATGTGAAAATATCGGTTTTTGTATTTTTGTTTCTTTTCCTGAGATTGGTTTATAAATCCTGTTAGGGGGTTATTATCTCCACCTCGGGCATCTTCGTTAGCAGCAATTATTTTTGCTATGGATCTTTTTCGTTTTTTTTCTATTTCTAATTTTTGCTCTTTCTCTATATTTTTTTCTTTTCTTTCTTTTTTTCTCTCTTTCTCTTTTTTGTTTTTTGCCTCTCTCTTTTTTGTTTCTCTCTTTTTTCCCCTTATTTCATATTTTTTTTCTTTCTTTAATTTTTATTAATATTATCGTTAATAAAAATAACATTTTTTTACTAATATAACTAATATATATATATATATTAATAATTTTAATTAAAATATATTAATATAAAATATTATTTTAATATTGAAATAAATATTAATATATGTTATATATTTATAAATATAGTATATAATATAAATAAACTAAATATAATTTAATAATTATTTAATATTATATTTATAATTATATTATTTATTAAACATAAATATAAATTAACAAAAATGCATGCTTATATTCATAAAAACAGATAAACACAAACAGACAAACACGAACAAACACAAACACAAACACAGACACGCACACAGACACAAACACAGACACAGACACAGACACAGACACAGACACAGACACAGACACAGACACAGACACAGACACAGACAGAGACAGAGACAGAGACAGAGACAGAGACAGAGACAGAGACAGAGACAGAGACAGAGACAGAGACAGAGACAGAGACAGAGACAGAGACAGAGACAGAGACAGAGACAGAGACAGAGACAGAGACAGAGACAGAGACAGAGACAGAGACAGAGACAGAGACAGAGACAGAGACAGAGACAGAGACAGAGACAGAGGCAGAGACAGAGACAGAGACAGAGACAGAGACAGAGAGACCAACAGACAAAGAGAGACAGAGAAAGACACTGACAGAGATCCAGAGACAAAAATAGACACGCCTCCGGCGCGCAGCGCGCCGGATTCTGATGTCGACATGCCACAGGCTTCGCCTGCGCACGTGCGCGCGTCCCGAGAGCCGTGATGCAGACGGGCTGCAAGAACGTGCGTGCGAGCTGTTGGCTGCGCGTGCCCCAGTTGCGCGCGGCCACTGGCCGCTTGTCCACTGGCAACGGTTTGTCACGCGCTTGTCCCGGCGCTGCCCCGCCGCTCTCCTTGTCCTCCACGACGGCTGTATTCTGGCCCACGGCCAGGTTTTCGGCGGCCCGGTTTGGACTGGAAATTTGGATTGGTGTTTTGGAGGTTAGGGGGTGGTTTCGCATTCAACTTCAACATGATCCAGGGGTTCAATCCCCAAACCACCAATCCAAACCAGCAATTAGGGGTAAGTTGATGCGGGTGTCAAAAAAGGGCCGAGCTTTTAGGGGCCAAGGTCCAGGCCGTGACGGGTGTGCCAAGAACAGAGACAATCTTTTTAAGCCCGCGCCGGCAAGACATTTTTTGCAACTCAGGCATCTTTATCATCTCATATATGTCAAAAATGTATACTCGTCGCATGCGAAAAGCATGCTGCCGTTCTCCAAACACAGGTCTGAGGGCCGGGCTGGTCGCGATAGGGTCACGCCAAAGAGTCAGTGAAAGGCGGCCGCCTGAGCAAGGTGAGAACGGATCCGTGGGCTGTTGGCCTCAAAAGATCCACACACGCAGTTGTTGCAAGCGCAAGCGAAAACGCGATCGACCAGAAAACATCCTGGGTGCAAGCAAAGCCGCACTGATTTCGCCCAAAGCATTGGGAAAAACACCACTGGTCGCAACAATCGGCCGCGGCTCACAGCTTCTCGCATCGCCAAGCTCTCGGAAGATGGGCCAAGATTTCAGCCAAAATTGCTACGGACTAGCAGATCTATGCCCCGACTCTTTATCTGGAAGACACAACGGCTTCGTTCAAAGCCCGGACCATTTTTCCGAAATATCCCGGATATTTCGATAGTCGCACTCCAGACCATTTTTCCGAAATATTCCGGATATTTCGACGACAGCATTTCCCGAAATATTTGGAATATTTCGAGGAAAATGGTCCCCGAAATATTCGGAATATTTCGAGAAAATGGTGGATGGCTCGATTCCCGGACCATTTTCCCGAAATATCTGGAATATTTCGGGAAATTGGTCCCTGTAAAAAATGAAGCCACTATGTCTTCCGCACATATGCCGGGGTAGCCCGGACAGACTTGGACAAGCGGTCCGTAGGAAATATGAAGCGGTTATATCTTCCAGGGGCAGTCCAGACCAATTTTCCGAAATATCCGGGATTTTTCGGAAAAAGCGGTCCGGGAAAACGCGCGCAAGTGCGACGAGCAAGTTTCACGGTTTCGTTTTATAGAGTAAATAAATATATTAAACAAAAAACATAATTTAATATGTTAAATTCAAATAATTAATAATTTAATATTTATTAATAGAATAAAATATTATTTATATTATATATATATATACAAATATTATTATTATATTTTTATTTATATAAAAAATCATATATTAAATATATCTTTAATAAATATATATATATATATATGAACTTTAACTACTAAATTAAACATAATATATAATTCTTCTTTATTAAAACGCAATATATATTAAAAACTATATAATTTAAACATATAAAAAAACCATAAAAAGATAAAATCTGGTAGAACTTACGATATAATTGGTAGTTGTTTTTTAAAATCACAAAACAAATAGATTATATACCATATAATTTTATTAGGGGAGGATATTCGAAAAAATATTTTTTTTTATTGTATCTTAATTACAATAAATATTTTATTAAAATTCCAAATAAAGAATAAATTATTTTTTTATTAAACCAATCAAATAAAATATCTTTTTTTTTCAATAAATTAAATTTTAATCCGGCATCCTAAAATATAATCAACAATTCAACCCAAATCTTCAAATCGAAATATTCGAAGACTCCAACGACAAAATAGAGTTAGGAAATAACATCTCATCCACCCAATGCCATTTTAGGCATAGAAATTACATCATCCCGCTCCGAAAATAAAACCTAAACCAAGCACAAAATTAAATCAATAAACAAACATCAAAAATATTTATACAATTAAACAATATTTAAACAACTATCAATCGTCCAATAAAACAAATAATACTTATACAAAACCACATAAAATAGTAACCAACAAAACAATAACATTTACCCAATAAAACAATCTTAAAATATAAAAAAATAAACCATTCATAATAAAACAAAAATCTAATAACCAACATATCTATCACAATTATAAATAACTACAATAACAAATAATCCATTCATCACTCAAAACAATCAAATCCCTCCCCCAAATATCCCCAAATCTACCAATAAATATCGGCCCATAATACAACTCAAAAATAATATAATATAATTCAACACAATCCATCCATCACTAAACATTAAAAACAAAAAAACACACAATCAAATCCCTCCCCCAACCATCCCTAAATCTACCAATAAATATTAACCCACAACACAACTCAAAAATAATACAATATAATTCGTCACTATCAAATTTTAATCATCAATATGTATCTATATTAAATTTAAATATTATCCAATAACAAATATGCATTTTTACATAAATACAAAAAACATGTTTTTCTCCATTAAATTAATAAATCATTTACACTAATAAATTTTTATTCAAATTATATACAAAACTAATAAAAGCCAAATCCAAATCAATATTTAAATATAAATCAATACATATAAATAACCACAAAAACACAACATAACTCAAAAAACAAAAAATCAAAGCATCAAATACCAAATACACCAAAATACATTCAACAAAACAAATATAAACCAAATAAATCATAAATATACAAACAAGCACAAATAAAACAAACATACACAAACAACAAATAAAAACAAAAAAACACAAAACAATAAACAAACAACAAACCATACACACATATCAAAATAAACGACATAAACATAACATCAAATCCTCAAACTGGCACAAAAACCAAATCTTACGAATTTATCCAAAAGAATAGACTCAAACAAATC